GGACCCTTAGGGTAGAAGCTCTCACATCCGCACAAGCCCAAAGACCCCAAAACTCGCAACTCACCGAATGGGTTGCGGGGCTATGCAGGGAGACCTGGCAGTCGATTCCTCTTAGAAGGTTTAGGGTTTAGGATTTGGGGCTTACGGTTTAGGGTTTAGGGTTTAGATGTATTCTTTCAGATCCCCGGTAAACCATAAAGCAAAATCAGCCGGATAAGTATCCGAGAGCCTTCTAGCCCAACTCGGTCTTACTTCAGAGTTCAACCAGACATGATGAGTGGACGGATCGATGTATGGCATCAGCAAACACTCCAGAACCAATATCGCACGGGTCTTCAGAGGCCCCTAACGGGGTTTATAGGGTTGCATGAGGGCTGTAGAAGGTTGTGCCAATGATGTTGTTAGGGTTCCATAAGGTTTCATAAAAGGAGCTTTAGGGTTTATAGTGTTTAGCGCGAAAGCGGATAGGCAAGAACCTTACTAAATACCTTAGCCTACCAAACCCTACTTTTTTGTAGGTTCTTATTATGAACCCTAATATGGAGTTTATAGGGACCCTACAAAAAAGTAGGGTTTGGTAGGTTAAGGTAGACATAAATCCTGAATCGGAAATGTGTCTCTGTTGCTCCGACTGGCCTCTCAGCATTCTGCAGGCTTCCGAAATCTCGGAGAGAGGCGTAAAAGGCGCTTAGTCATTTCGGGCTTAAAGTGTTGAGGGCTTCAGCGGGATTGTTGGTTTCGGCTTGAGGCTTGGACGTAGAATCTTGCCGAAGTTGAAGTTTGGGTTAGAATCCTGGTTGATAGTGCCCACCTGAAGAGACCCCCAGCCCCAGCCATCCACCAAAACTCGCACGACCAGGCGAGCGGCTGATTGAATGTAAGATTAATTAGATTGCGTGAGTACCCGACCCGAGCCGACGGCAGGTTCGCAAGGCTATGTCTAGAACAGCAACTGTGTCATCCTCCGGGGACCTCTACATGGTGACTTGCAGTGACGAAGATCGCATCCTCGTAATGCGCCTGCTACCCCCCCAATTATAAGCTGGAACTGTTGGGGAACCACGACACGCCGAACCCGACGTCTTGCCTCGTGAATGCCCTTCTCAATACCTGAACCCCAACACCCTGCTTTTTTCAAACCTCGAAGGATGAACCTAAACCCTAAACCCTAATCCTTCAAACAAACAGCCCTGAGGATCCCAAGGCAGCGTGAAGCGTGTAAATAAGCATTCGAAAACCGAAACCCTGAACCAGGTCAGAGCCTACCACTGCCTTACGGCAGTGTTGAAAGATTGCTGCTCCGAACCGCCTAAAGACGTGGCGAGGGGTGACTCTCTGGGTGAAGCCCTAAAACCTAGGCACTGTAAAGCCCTAAGTTTTAAACACCCTGAGCGCCAAAGCCCCCAAATTTCCTAAAACCCAAATCGCTCCAAAGAGACCGGTTACCAACATCCTAAAGTCCCAAACCCAAACCCGGAACCTTAATTGAACCCTTTAAGGGAACCAAAACGGCTTAGGGTTTACCTTAACCTACATTTTCAAGGACTAAGAAATCATAATAAGGAACCCCAAAAGGTAGGTTCTTCAGGGTTAACGTAGGGTTTAAGGACTGTTTTGGGGGACCAAAACAACCATTTGCCGAAGAGCTCGTGGAGGCGCTCTGCAGGCGTAGAGGCACCTGCGCACTGTAGGGGGGCCTTCATTAACCCACTTGACGGTCTAGGGTTTAGGGTTGTATGGGGTTTATGGGGTTTAGAGTCTGGGCTTTTAAGTAACTAGGGAGGAAAAAGGTATAGACTTGTATTTCATAATGCACCAGATATTTCGACTTCTAATTGTATGTCAAACTAAAACCATATAGGTGCTTGACGGGGGTAGCCTGTTTATCGCGAGATCTATGTTCGGCCGGGATCATTAACTGTCGGGTTTAGGACTTTCGACGCTTGCCATTTGCAGTTCCTCCGTTTGGATAGCAAGTTTGGGTTTAGGCTTCGGATTCAGCAGGGATCTTAAGCTGATCAAAAAAGGTAGCCAACACAGGCACTATCAAGGCTCATGCCAAGGTAGCGTCGGATTATCATTAGCCGGCTGTTTTGCCGGCTGGCTTGCTTTCGCCTGCCTATATCTTGCGTATACTTGGCATGACACATCCGTGGCCGTGGGATTGGCTGATGCTTGTCCTTGGCCCAGGCAGTTCAAACACATCGGTCTACTCTTTCCTGAGCACGCCGCTCACACTGAGAAGGCCAAAATCCTTTCAAGAGGATGCATGTCCGTCCATAAGGCTCCAAGTAGGACCGCGTTAAAGACTTGGGCTGCCAAGTCTTAAATCGAATGCATGCAAGCTACACTACTTAGAGCCTTAGCCTTTGGCACGAGTTGGTGATGGCTTGACCTCCTTGCATGAAGAGTTGCAGATGAGGATTCGTTAAGAATTCGGAGTGGCTTAGGCTTAGGGCTTTAGGATTGGCTTGGCTTATAGGGCTTGTGATCAGGACTATTTCAGGGTTTTGGGCATCCTAATGCCTAATGACCCAAATCCTGTAGCCTCAGGTGAGTCTACGTACAACAGCAGCTGAAACCATGAGCTTTGTTCCAACAGCCACGGTGTTCAGTGAATGATGCGCGTGCGTGCATATGTCTCTGCCACTGCTGATTTGCTGCTAGAACAGACCTCTTCACCCAGAACCCCCCAATGGTTTCTGAAAGTACGTGCTTCTATGACGGTGTGGGCGAGCCTGGCAGAGGGGCTTGTTTGAGAATACTCCGACTGATTCATATTCATATTCATACCTCTATGTTCATATTTCGATACTACCCAAGGCGGTTCTTCAAACTGCTCCTTGCTCCACATGCGAAACACCGAATGGTCCGAAAACCTTTCGTGTCTTTGCCCATGATTTCTCAAGTTCCTCACCCAAGCTCTACATGCCGCTCAGCCCCAATCTCTCCAGTATTGTATCCCCTTCTTGCTGCTACATGCATCATTGTCAAACTAGGGTCCCTTGTTGGGTACCCTGAATATTGGGTGCCGTATTATAATAGGGACCCAAAAAGGGACCAGAATTTCGACAGCCACCCACATGAGTATGACTATACCCCACAGCCCTGTTGTAGTCATTAAGGCTCCTATAGCAGCGTCTAGGAAGTTTGCAGCTCAGGTCATGCCACACAGGAGCACGTGCCAAGATCTCAAAATCGAGCTGAAGTGATTTTTTCTGCTCCAATATTGCCAACGGCTGACGGCTCGGAGCATATGTCAACTAGAAATCAAGATTTCCAGTGTACGCGCCATTGGCTTAGGGCGTTTGGGGTCTGGGCATTCCAGGTTGATAGAGCTTCTGGTCTTTGGGCGCGTAGTCAATGATCTGGGTGGGAGCTCTCGGTTCTACGACGGCCTTCAGACAAATTAGGATGTGCCCTAAACCCTAAACCCTACGAATTACAGTAGGATGCAGAGACTCCGGGCCGTAGGATTTAGGGCTTTAGGATCTCATTATCAGGGTTAGCTTTTGTTAGAGTTTAGGGTGATGATGACAGAATTCAGGTTCAGGGCCTCAAGGTGTAGGGTGAATTATAGCCCCGGGTTTTAGCGCTTAGACTTCTAAGTGCCCAGGGTTGATGTCGAGTGCTTTAGGGCTTCAGGGGTCAGGGTTTAGGGTTTATAGGGTTTAGGGGTTTAGGGGTTTAGGGTTTAGGGGTTTAGGGTTTAGGGGTTTAGGGGTTTAGGGTTTAGGGTCAGGGCCGTCGTCTGGCAGTTGGGCATTGGAGCTTCTAGCCCCCAAAACCCCTTCGCACAAGCATGGCTTGCTCTGTTCTCGGGACAGGGCTGCAAGGTATACAGGATTCAAGGTAACCCCCACGTTGAAGTTTCAGGCCTTAAGGAGTTGAGGAGACAAGCAGGACGGCTTCAGATCGAGGCTCTCGAGTACTCGGGTCTAACATTTGTGGGGGGGCCGCTTCTGAGTAGAATAGGGCTTTGGGTATGTGGTGCAATCAGATGAAAGAACCGAGCCCCGTGAGGAATAAACAATAAGCCATTCAGGCCCATTTTTTGTAACTCCGCAGGCCCTAAACTCGTCCCTTTCATTGGATGCCCCTACCCGAGGAATGCTTGGCGCTGGACGCGAACCCCATCCGAACATCGGTCCAGCCAGTAGGAGGTTAGATTGCTAGGGGCTACAAACCAGCCCTGGTCCTCGAGTATGAACATGGGAGTTTCCGAAAATAGGGGTACCTTATTTTGGGGTCCATATATATAAGGATCCTACTATTTAGGGTACCATATTAGGGTCCCCTATTTCCGGAAACTCCCACATCCGAAGCAGGCCCATCGAAAAGGGAACGCGAAATTAACAATGAATCAACAACACATTGACATGAACATTTGTTAGGGGCCCGACTCGAAACGCCGAAGACACAAGAGGAGGCTCAGGGATTCTGGGCTTCAGCGGTTTAGGGTTTAGAGTGGGTGTGAACTTGTCTGGTACAGCGCGGCTTGGCAAAGGGGGAAGGAGCACAAGAGTCTGCATGAAAGGTTTCAACATCCTCGCAGGCTCACGATGGGTTTGGGATTGGTTTAGGGTTTAGGGTTTAGGGTTTTGGGGTTTTAGGCTTTAGAGTTTTAGGGTTTGACGGTTTAGGAGTTTAGGAGTTTTAGGGTTTAGGGTTTTGGCATTCAGGGCTTCGTAGGCTCATAGGGATTGAAGATTGTGGGGTTGAGGTAGGAGTTCCGAACTTGCAAGGCTTCACGGCCCCTAAGGCCCTCAGGGTCAGGCTTTGGGTGTAGGGTTCTTGGGGATTTTGAACTCGGCTTTTGGGTCTTCTTGCGTTTACAGATGTGCCATGCGAGCCCTATAACCCCGACAAACCGTTCAATCCCTAAACCCTCTTCACCCTCGGACGTCGATCCCCCAACTCTTCTTTAACACAGCCTGAGCCCACGAGGATGGGTTGCATTAACAGCCGCGAGGAGGCCGAAAAGACAAAGAGAGAGAAGCTCAGCTGTAGCCCACGTAGTTGTAGGGCGTGATTTGCTTCCTCGGATCGCATGGGTCCCCTCAGGGTCTTAAAGGGCTTTATGGACTCGCTTTACTAACAGTGGATTGGGTTTGGCGTACTTGGGGTTTGGCATGGTTTGGCATAATGCAGGCAAAAAAGTCGAGATGTACATGATTATGAGGCATTGTGAAACTTGCCCTGTGTGGCTTGAGGGTCGTCAGGGAAAGGAGTACAACGACATCAGAAGCTTTCGCCACAATACTGTTGTTGCTCTTGTTGTTGTTGTTGCTGGTGCTGGTGGTGCTGCTGGTTGTGCTGCTGATGCTGCCGCTGCTGCTGCTGCTGCTGCTGCTGCTGCTGCTGCTGCTGCTGGTGCTGATGTTGCTGCTGCGGGTACTGCTGCTGCTAGTGCTGTGAGTGCTAATGGTAGCACCCTGTCGGCGCCATGTCACATTGGAATGCTTTACAGGCTGCAAACGCGTACTGACTTGCCTCTCTAGCTCTTTCGCTCACCCACTTGCTGAAATAGGGCTGCTCAGTAGTTCCCAGAGGATTTCTTGCTCTGGCAATACGAGCAGGACTGTCAGCGCAGCAAGCAGCCATCGGGCAGTTTAAAACATACATATATGTCCATATATGTATGTATGTATGTATGGATGTATGTATGTATGTATGTATGTAGAAGTTTACATAAAACAAGACATTCTGTGTGTGTATGCATATATATAGTCATATACACAGCACACAATCACATACGTTACAACGTAGGTTGCACACATTGTAGTATACAGCAACTAAGCATCAGCAGCCCGTCTTTTTCTACAAATCCCTCGTCCGAGGGTCAGCTCTGTCTTGATCTTGTCCCCGACATTGAGGGTGTCCACGAAGCTATGAATGCGCCTCGGCTTAGAAAACGTGTTTCGAGGTGTAGGTGTTCATCAACCTCAACCTTCGATTGCAAAATGAAGCTTAGTAGAAGTATTGGCGGTAAGCGATATTGGAAGGCATTTCGACGGCAAACAAAAACTGTAGTCTCACAGGTTTGGTGAACGAAATAGCACGCATCTAAATCAACCGTCAATGCTTTGCTACACCTGAACCCTAGACAGTAACCTTAAATCCTAAACCCTGAAGACCTGCACCCTGAAACCGACCTTTGGGCTTGACACAACCGGTAAAGGGAAGTAACTAGCAACAGAAAGTTGAGGGTTTGGATTTTTTTTGGTTGGGAGGGTAGGGTTCAGGTGCGACTCTGGTGTAACATGCCGAATAACCTTCTGGCGTTTCTGCATGCCCCGATATAACATATGCTATCTGGCAGCATACGGTACTATAAAGATCTGAATAACGAGCAGCAGTGCCCCCTGCATAAATCCATCTTGCACAAAGCGCCGAAAAAATACTTATCCACCCTTTTATACCCCAAACCCCAAACCTTCCACCTAACAAGCCCTAAACCCCGAAGTTACTGAGCAAAACCATCGAAGTGTCAAACACGTGCTCAGATCCGGATTGCAGGAACCGTGAGCTCGGACCCTGAATCCTACACCCTAAACTAGGGCCTAATCTAGTTATTAGGGCTTATACGGCTTTTGGGGTTTTGGGCTTTTTGAATTTGGGGTTTAGGGTTTAGGGTTCCAGGTAAGCCTGTTGTTTTAAAGGCTATGCTTCTCATTGTATCATAAACCCGCTCTGTTGCAAGGTCTGGGAGTACAGATACCCTGTCAAGCCCTAGCCCAGGCCCGCAGAAGCACAGTAGAGAAGCCTCCGGAAATGCCAGAGAAGCACTAAAATCTGACAGGTTGCTCCTTAGTCATAGCCTCATTCGTCCGCGTGAGATCCCGGAGTGCTTCATAAGGCTTCCTCAGCTTTCTTCAGATGCTCTTGTTATTGTTGTTCAGGATTTATAGTTTAGAGTTTAGGATTTGGGGTTTCGGTGGCTTTGTGTGGTTGCATGTATGCGTGCATGAGTGCGTGGGTAGCGGGGGAGGTGTTGGTTCTTGTTGCCTCTGGTTTCTGGAGTTACATTTTAACCCGGCTCACGAATCTTGAAAAGCCTCTGGGCCTTCCCGACTTAAGCTCCGGACCTCCCGGAAGAAATAACCTAGACCCTCCATCTACCCTCTATTAGACCCTAAATGCCTACTTTTGGGGACCACATACCCCTGTTTGAGGGCGCAAGGAGGGTCCTGGAAGGTTTCGGGAGAGAGTTTAAGGTCGAGCATGGGCCTCCAAGTTCTTCGAAAAAAGGGGCTGCGGTTGCACGGTACACGCCTGTCTAGGTGGGGCTTTTAAAGCCATTGAAAAATATTAGTAAATAAGATCCTCTTAAGCCCAATAAGGGAAAATATAAAATGTCCCGAAGCCCTACCTAGCTGTAGGAGCGGCACGTTGAAGGAATGTGAAGGGCTCCACCATGCCTTGAACATAAGATGTCGTGAGGAAGAAATCTCACATACAAGAACCTCATCAGTGGCCGTAGTAATTGGAACAGGGGTTCGGGGTACGTAATACGGTTGATGATATAAATCCTGCATTTCCCATAATAATCATAAGGAATATACCATAATCCAATAGTTTAGGGTCCTTAAGGTAATGCAGGATCTATATCATCAACCGTAATTAGGTACAGTACGAAGTCTGAAGGATCATTGCTCGTGTGTGATGCTCGTGCCTATGTGAAGCCTCAAAGATTTAACTTAGCCCTGCCATGTACGCTGCAAGACCGGAGCGCTAAACCCTGAATCCTGAATCCTCATGCAATCCGGAACCCTGAACCCGTAAAACCTCAAGCCCCAACCCTAGATCGCGTGATCCCGAACCCCTAGCCTATAAACCTCTAAACAATAAACACTAAACCCTCAAATCTAAACCCAAAGCCCCTCAGCAAGCCCCTAACGCAAATGCTAAACCCTAAACCCTCAACCCCAAGCCTCAGCAGCAGAGGCCCAGAGGATCCCAGATCAAGGATGTCTTTTCGGCCGAGGGGCGGGTAGCCCTCACGTCTGAGGATTGACTGGATGGCCTGCTGGAATCTGAGTTGTCCTTTAAGCCCTTTGCAAATTATTCGTTATGATGGTTCTCTACAAAACAGTAGGATTTACTATTATGGTTCTCTACAAAATAGTATATAGGTGGAAGTTAAAAAAGATTCTGTCCTAAAGGACAAGCCAGGAATCTTCGAGCTCATGAGGCTTAGAAGGGTCTTCTGATGGTCTTAGAGGAGTTTAGAAGGATTCAGGGTTTGAGCGTTTTCGGGGTGTTAGGGTTTGGGTTTGGGTGTGCGGGGCCAAAGGTACACTGTACGCAAAGCAGGCACCAAGAGTAAACCTACTTTGGCCATCACTAGCCCACAGCAAATGGGAGCATACTTGTGCTTGTGTATGTGTGTCTGTGTGTGTACAGGTGTTCCCCTTCACTCCACAAGTCCTGCATAAGCTTGAGTGACTGATCCGCGCCCCTGCCGTACTGTCTTGCTCTCTGGGATATTCGATGAATCATGTACACGACATCAACGAGTAGCAAAAGACGTATGCGCGACGCTGTTGACTCAACGGACTCGGCTCTTTGCATTTTGCAACTTATCGGTGCTCGGCTCATTGTGAGAACCTTCTGTCATTGTTGGTCCCTGACATTTGCAACTGCTCATCAGCCTACAAACAGAGGTTAAAGGGACCACAGCCAGGTCTTCGTGCCCAAGCAGCATACTCTACAGACCGTAGAGTGAGACCCGAATGTGTGGGGCTGTTCAAAGCACAAAGCCGGGATGCCAGACACCAGGTTTACAGTTTCCGGCTTGGGGGCTCACGAGCTTTATGCTTCATGGTGGTTTGGTTTCTGAACGTTTGTCGCTGCTAAGTGTGTTTGTTTGCGCACTGACACTACAATGTTACACGACTGTGTCAGAATGTGTACCGAAAACGAACCCTGGCTTCAAACCGCGTCCAGACATCACTCCAACCAACGTTCAAGCCAGGCCAGAACTCAATCCGTACTTTTCAAACAATTGATCTTATGCCCTAGTTTGGGGTGTACGGCCATACTTTGCAACTAGAGGTAGGTTGCAAGTAAGTTATCAGGTCACAAACAAGGATGATTTCCTGCTCCTCAAAAATACTCCCAGCCGATCCAGCAGGGTTCTGTAAGACGCGCGGTGACTCCCTCCCTTCCAAACTCAAAGATACAGATAGACCCTGAGCGAACAAACTGAAGTGCCTCCGCCACCACTGCCCAGTTGCCTCGAGCCGCAAGGCCCCAGTGATTTGCGGGGAGGTTCTCGACATAAGCCCTAAACGTCGAACCCTCAACACTCATAGGCCGAGCGCTAGGGTGAGCAAATCGAGGTGGAGACCACAAGCCCGCACATGAAAAAAAAGCATGAGCTGCCTGTGTTGAGGTCTACCATGAGATCTCAACTGCATTGACTCGGGCTTTAAGCAAGCAATCCAATTGCCCCCCTGACTTGAATGAACCCCTACCTGACAACGCTTGATCTAACAAAGGTCTGGCAATGTCGCTGCAAGTTGCAAGAAAAGCACACGTGTTGTTTCAAGTAAACTGTCTGTTTCATAGAGGCCTTTGGCTCCTGGCCTAATAGAGGTCGGTCTGCATACCCAGAGGCTCCATAGTAGTTCCTTCTTGGGATTACCTTATAGGATTCTATATAGGAACCCCAAAAAGGAACTACTTTGGGGCCTTAGGGTAACAACATGTTCCAATGTGTATATATGTATCTGCGCACAGGGATATACTTGCATGTGCGCATCCATCCATCTGTCCATCCATCCATTGCAGGCATACAGCCGCACATACATTCGTACATGCAAAAAAAATGCATGCATGCATCCATGCATGCATACACAAATCCCTATTGTACATATGTAAACCTACCTGCAATAGACCCATAGGCCCATGAGGTTACCTTATAAGATTCTATATAGGAACCCCAAAAAGGAACTACTTTGGGGCGTTAGGGTAACAACATGTTCCAATGTGTATATATGTATCTGCGCACAGGGATATACTTGCATGTGCGCATCCATCCATCCGTCCATCCATCCATTGCAGGCATACAGCCGCACATACATTCGTACATACAAAAAATGCATACATGCATGCATGCATGCATACACAAATCCCTATTGTACATATGAAAAATCCTACCTGCAATAGACCCATAGGCCCATGAGATTACCTTATGAGATTCTATATATGAACCCCAAAAAGGAACTACTTTGGGGCCTTGGCGCAGTTACTACATCCTAACTTCTGAAGCTGCATCCGAGCTTCCTTCGAGGTCGGCTTCTACGGCTGCCTCTCCACTGGCACGAAAGCAAGAGACGACTGGAGACTTACCTTTGGTTAGTATAGGGAATGAAGGAATGGGGTACGAGTATAACTACTATTACTACCATTCTTCCATGCCCTACTGACCCTTATGGTAGTTATAGTAGCCCTTATAGACCCCTTTAAGGAACCCTACTCTAATTATGACTATTACTACTAAGCAAAGGTAAGGAGACTACAGTTCCGGGTCAGGTGCGGGACTTCGGGTGTCCCCCTTGCAGAACCTATATGGGAGTTTCCGAAAATTAGGGGTACCTTACTTTGGGATCCTTATAATAAGGATCCTACTATTTAGGGTACTATATTAGGGTCCCCTATGCCATAGCATTAAAACCCTGCGTTCCAAAGAACACCCCCTCTACGATCGGGCTTAACTCTGGTGTCTCCTGTTCCAGGACCCCCCTTGTGCCCTCAAACAGGGGTATATGGTCCCAAGTAGTGGGCGTTTAGGGTCTAATAGAGGGTAGATGGAGGAAGGGTGTGGGAAAGCTTGGGCTCAGCATGGTTTACAGCTTCAGGGTTTAGGGTTAGTGCATTCCGGCTTGATTCGGTAGTGTGGTCACGCTATTGGTAGCCGGTGGTTACGGTGGGATGAAGGTAGAATTCTCATAGAATTGGGGGTCTCTTATGTGACGCATATAGGAAGTCTGCATCCTAGTTTTAAGACCTTTCAGAACCGACTTAGAACCCTCAAAAAGCCCTTAAGCAGAACCCTGAAGCCCTCCAGAAGCTTCAAGAACCCTGAATGCAGTTACACTATTAAATGGGAGTTTCCGAAAATTAGGGGTACCTTGTTTTGTGGTGCTTAGGATAAGAATCCTACATACTATATTAGGGTACTATATTAGGGTCCCCTATGTTCGGAGACTCCCAAATAGAAACCTAAAGCCCTCCGGAGCCCTCAAGAAGAACCCTCCAGAACCCTTAATGCGCCCTTAAGCAGAACCCTAATCCCTCCTTTAGAGATTATTGTTGGTGCTTACATCAATGATTGTGTCATTTGGTTATGATCGAATTGATTCTGATTGGATGGTGAATTTAAATCTTTTCTTAAGTGTTATTGGTGCCTCTTCCCCCAAACCTCGAAGCCTTTGGCGGGGCCTTGTTCACGAGCAGCTTCCCCAAGCCTCGCTGCATGGAGGCGAGAGCGATCTGCCTCGGCACCCACTCCGAGGGTCTTTACGTCATCTTAAATCATGTACCTTTATCCCGAAGAACCTACATCTTTAAGGACTTATATAAAGAAATCATAATAAGGAGCCCTCAAAAGGTAGGTTATTCAGGGTTAAGCTAGGGTTGAATCTTCTGGGCTTCTATAGGGGGGATCTTGTGAGGGTCTTATACGAGGTCTAGACTCATCGTATCAGGGTTCTCGTGTTTTGCTACAGGACTTTCGGGTTTGAGGGTTCGGGATGTTCACCAGTCCCCCAAGTATCCTTTAACGGAGCCCTATGGTCCTAAATACTGGGTATGTCGGCTATAACCCGGGTCAGCTAAAGGGTCCAGGTCGGGTCTGGGGGTTTAGGTTGTTGCGGCCTGTGAGATCTTAGTAAAGGGCTCGGGCTTACAGCTTGTAAGGTCATTGTCGGCCGGCTGGGTACGAGAGGTCACCGGAAAAGACCCAAGTGGTTCAATCGTCTAATGCTTCTATCAGCTTTGACCTGGTGCCGAACCGTTGCAACGGAAAGGCTCTAGCAACCCCTATAAATCTGAAACCTAAACCCGCAAATCCCTAAATCTGAGCATCACCGCATTCTTGTGGGAATCAAGCACCCAGGAATCCAAAAATATTCCTACGGCTCTTGCAGTGCCGTTACTCGAGGGAGCCTGTTGTCACTGGGATGCTGCCATGGTAGTCTGATGGTATCTCAACCGCATCTCATCTGAGACCGCAGTAGCAGCGCTAGGTTACATTGCGTATATGGGAGTTTCCGAAAATAGGGGACCCCAATATAATGCCCTAATCAGTAGGATTTCAAAGGACCCCAAAACAAGGTACCCCGAATTTTCGGAAACTCCCATATACGGCTTGAACGCTACACCGTGAACATCCCTAAACCCTACAAAACCCTACACCAGATGCTTCTCGGATGCGTGTGCGCCAAAGGCACGCCCACGTTCCGCAGCACTGTGGAGTCCTGCCCGCCAGCACTTAAAAAAATTCAGAATAAGTATTTGGGAGTAGTTTATAACAAGGAACCCAAAGAACAAAGAAAGCAGCACTTAGTAATTAGAACAAAATTTTTGGAGTAGGTTATAACAAGGAACCCTAAACAATACATGATGAGCTGCATGCTTCAAAACACGGCAGACAGCACGACTACTTACCTTCCTATGTGGGATATTCTGGGAAATGATTCTGGTAGCATGTATGATGTAATTGCTCAGCTTTTGGTAATCCTTGCTGCTCGCTGCTCCCTCCCTCGTTGTCTTCAAGACGTAGCTATTGGCGGCTTCGGCTGCCAAGGGGTGACACGACGCTGTGGGAATGCCGAAAAAGCCAAAGATTGACTACACGGGGCTTGTGGTTTCGGGTTTGTGGATGTGCCATGTACGATATTAGGCTTGGAAACAGGATCGATGCACGGCACAAGTACCAAGTCCCACTGGCAGGGCAACTCTAAGCAGCCTGGAGAGGGTTTTGACCAAACAGATGCAGGTGTGATGGCTTCCAGATAGTATGTATCTCGCATGCCTTCTGGCTCGAACGGTTATGTAGCTAACAACCCTTATTCCCGAATCAGGAAATGACCCGGTAGAGTCTTGGAGAAGCGTAGATCACGGCCAGTTGGTTTCGAAATTGGGGTTCAGGCCGAGTCAGGGCCGTTGCTGCAAAAGGCTTGGGGCTTCTGGTTCTACAGTACCTTATGCTGATTCTGTCCATGAGACTTGGAAAAGAACAGTTAGGCCACAACGCCTGAGTATCACGACAACTACAACCCGCAACAAGATCAACAACCTGGTCGCCCTAATAAACCCTTCAACCCCCAACACCCTAAACTCCAAATAAGCAGCCCTAAAGCACAAAGAAAGCCCAATACCCCTTGATTAAGGAATATAGCTTAAATCATAAAAGGAAGCCCTATATAATTTGAGCCATATTCCTTAATTAAGGGGTATTGGGCTGTCTGGGCATCAGCCCTGACCACCCTAAAGCCCAAAGAAGCAGCCCTGAACCTTCGGCAACAAACACCCGAAACTCAACCCTAATCATCAAGCAAGTCACCTCTAAACCCTAAACCTTAAGCCCCCTAAACCCCAAACCCAAAGCACCTCTAGACTCTAAACCCTAAAAAAACAAAGCCCTTAAGCCCCCCTGTACCCTAAACTACCCTAAGCCCGGTAAGCCGCCGTAAGCCCTAAACCTTAAGCCCCCTGACCATCCTAAGCCCCGTACGCCCTAAACCCCATGAAACCCCCTAAACCCAAAACCCTAAACCCCATGAAACCCCCTAAACCCCAAACCCTAAACCCCATGAAACCCCGTAAAACCCTAAACCCCATGAAACCGAGACGGCTTGCAGCCCAGAAGCCGTCAGATCTCTTTGCAGCCGCGAGATCGGCAGCTTCTGGGAAAGGTGCTCGAACATCGCCTGGGGTGGGTTTAGGGTTTCGGGTTTATGGTTTAGGGCTTACGGTTTGGGGGGGTTTAGGGTTTAGGATTTGGGCCTCTCGGGGCTTCGGATTGTCGGGGTTTTGAGGTTTAGGGTGTAGCTTGGGGGCTTTCGGGGTTTAGGGTTTCGGGGGTTTGAGGGGGTTGGGGGGGATTTGGGGGTTTATGGGCTTGGGCGCAAATAATTCTAGGGCTTTTAGGGCCTAGGGTTTAGGATTGGGGTCTAAGGTTTAGGACGGGTCTGCTGAAGCTTACGGAATAAGATGATTCCACTGCTCAGGGCCAAGCTAGTCTCTAAGCTCTAAAAGCACACTTCTGGACAAAAACAACCCACAAGTCCAGAAACTGATCACCTCATCGTAAAAAACATGTAAAACACTCAAGAATGCTGGCTCCAGCTGCTGTAGGGGCCTGCATGAAGTCTTAGGCCAAAGCGTTGAGATTGCGCTTGGGCAGCTCAAGGAAGCGTGTAACTAATGATTCAGGCCACAAATCAAGCGGGATTTTTCAGTGGCCCTCGAGCCACACATAACTACACTGTAATGCGAATTTACAGTGATTTTGATGTTCGGGTTTGGGGCTTGATTTAGGGGGTGTCGTTTAGGTGTCTCGATTTGCCCAAAAGGTATGCCTTGCTGAGTACAGTTTATACAAGGTTTCAGAAACTCCGCACGTGAACCCTGAATGATGTGTGATCAAACAACCAGAGGTCACATCATGGTGACAGCATGGTTCGATACATACACTCCTCAGGTCAAAGCAGATGCTCTCAATGTAAGCTCAGCTCTTACGCCACATGGATCTTCTGAAACTTCGTATAGAAGCTTAATTAACAGGAAAGCCTTCGACAATTTGCGAGCTCAGCCGCGTTCGCAAAACCCAGGTTGCCCTCGGCATTCTCGAAATCGATGGGGTTGACCTCGCGCTCAAACTACAAACACCAAAACTCAATATCGGACAGCTGTTCGAGCGCCAGCCGCGAATGCAATATCTATAACCCAGCCGCCGACTTGAACCATTCGGGACCCTTCACTAAGTCACAACTACTGAGTCTGCCTAGGGTTTCCACGATCTTCAAAGCATGCAGCATGTCGAGTGTTGGTTCGCTCTTGTTCTGAGTACACTCAATCGGGATGGGCTGTCTGTTGGTTCGCACCAGCTCATGCAGTGCAGCTCTTCTGGGGGTGGGTACCCCAGGGTAGTAGCCATGACCTCAGCTCACATAGTGTAAGGAGGTGTAGTGACTGGAGTTACAGCTACCTGAAGGATCAAGGGCAGTTGTATCATCGGATGAGACAGGTGACCTATGGCTACAGCTACCCAACATGAGATGCTTACTGTTGCAGCCCTACCCCGGGTATTCGCCCCTGAACCCTGAAGCCTTTCAACCCCGAAACCCTGAAGCCCTACAGCTACTGACCCCAAAACCTCAAGGCCGAAAACCCAACAAAGCTAACAGCCCAAGGCCCCTAAGCCGAAAACTTTCCAGATTATTCCTGCCCTGGAAACGCCCAAGATCCAAACCCCTTATACCCTAAACCCTGAAACCACTAAACCCCCAACCCTGAGAACCCTACACTCCGAAACACTGAAACCCGAAATCCCTAAACCCTCAACCCCGAAATCCCTAAACCCTAAACCCTTATAGAGCCCTTTAAAGGAACCCTAAACCCTGAAACCACTATATAACCCTTAAACCCTCGGTAGATTCCGGAAGAGCCTTGTGCGGCATCGCACTGGATCCGACCTCACCGGCCACGATCTTCTGCTTGAAATACCTTGGGACAAAAACCCTAAACCCTAAACCCCAATCTTCTGCTTGAAATACCTTGGGACAGACAAAGCCCTGGGGAGTTTGGGGTTCCGGGACGGTTTAGGGCTTAAGGTTTTAGGGTTTAAGGGTTTAGGGTTTAAGGTTTTAGGGTTTAGGATTTAGGGCAACTAACCAGTGGATTTTTGGGGGTTCCCTTGGCTCTTTAGCTCCTTATTTAATAGGGATTATGCTCATCCCTGGCTCCTTAGCTCCTCCAATCTTCTGCTTGAAGTACCTTGGGACAAACAAAGCCCTAGGGGTTGGGGTTCAGGGTCGGTTAGGGCTTTAGGGTTTTAGGGTTTAGGGTTTAGGGTTCAGGGACGGTTAGGGTTTTAGGGTTTAGTTTAGCGTCTTCGACGTAGCTTCAACTTCGAAACACATCTGAGACCGCAACAACTCAACCAAGAACCCTAACAGTCTGAATACGCAGCCACCGAACACGTATGTCGAGCTCCTTTCAGAAAGGACAGGGCACTCCATGGACACGTACATCCACACGTCTCGGCACATGTCGGTGAGGATGGTGTTCAGTCGCTTGATGCCATCCTTGGCGAGCACCGGCCCTAACTCTATAGTCTCTGCATGCAGCCGTTTGGGCTTGGGCTTCGGGATTGCAGGCTTTGGTGTGCAATGAAACAGAGCTGATAGAAACGAAAGTATCATGAGTCTACTATCGCGAATGTTTGACGGGCAACCATTGCGTTGTGCCGGGACAGAACGCAAGCAGTCTCGTATACAATACGAAAGTACATAAACACACATAGAGTTAGAGTACAAATATAAACAATTGAATGTACAAAGGAATCAACACATGTGCACATGTATGCATGTAAGTCATTATGTGTATATATGTAAACATGCGTATATGTACCTATGTATATGTATATGTACAAGGTGCAAAGGCATGCTTATGTGGATATTGTATGCACATATACCATCGAAAACGATTCATGTCTCTGGCGCCTGCATTTTCAGGGCTGTGACTGCAGCTGAACCGAGATATCAACCCCCCGATGTCTACGGCGGGAGCATCTCGGTTATCATTCTTACTGAAAGACATCCTGACAGTGTTAAGCTGCCGTGCCGTCGAGGGCTGGGCTTCGGAAGCTCGCAGCCACTAAGTGGGATTTCGAGAATCGGACCGCAGGTGAAGCCATAGATATAGATTTTTGACTCAGTCAAGAACAGAGCGCTCAGCATTCCTTCTTCAAGGCTATGGCTGTGTAACGCCGGTCAGACACACTGCGAGACTTTGGCAAGGCCGTCGTGGCCTCACAAAAACCTTCAACGAAGAAAAACCAATGTGAACTGTCGCTGATTTCTGAACACGAAATGCCCATCTCTGCGAAATCCAGAGATCTAAGGGCCGGACGAAGATCGCCCCCATGTTGTCATAGTGCTCGATCTGGGTGGTGTACCTCAGTACTTGTAGGAGCAGGGGACCGCGAAAGTAGGTCAAACTTAGAGCTACAAGTCCCCTATTTGGGTTACCCGACTTTTGCCTCTACTTAGAACCTACTGACTGAATCCCCTGATCTTCCGAGTACAGTTTAGGGACGTCTCGAGTCCAGGGACCTGCATTAATTGGGGGCTTCTGTGAGACTAGTGACTAGCAGGGCGGGACCACAACTTTGAACAGCTGTGCTCTCACAACGGACCACCGGCACACGTACCAGCGGCAACTTGTGGTGGTAACCGAGAGAGAGCGAGAAGGACAGAGACAGAGACAGGAGACAGAGAGAGAGGGATGGATGGATGGAGAGATAGAAAGGTGGGTAGACGGGCAGATAGGTAGACAGGTAAACTGGTAGACCGACAGAGAAAGGGAAAGAGAAGTGGAAGAAGTCTACATACATTACTGGGATCCCGTGTACCCTCACTGGGATTCTCAAGGAGACCTCCATACATTCACCAGCTCCTTCAAACCCGAATCTAAGCGCAACACGATTGAATAAGTCTTGGACTGTCTCAGCCCCAAACCCACATGGGTGGTTGTCAAGATTAGGGTCCCTTTTGGGGTCCCTATCATAATACGGCACCTTTTATTCGGGGTACCCAAAAAGGGACCCTAGTTTTGACCCACATGGGTTTCCTATGTGTAGGACACTCTGAATTTCCAAGGATGAATGCCACCACAAAGTCCTTCTTTGAAGAACACTCCGACGAAACAAAGCCATGATTTACGATAGGGGCCTCAAGAACTACCCATACTATTGTGGGGGCTCCTTATTATTGTGATTATAGTATAACGGGCCCCAAAACCCTATTTTAATTCTGAAGGCCCCCACAAGGGCTCGAATGGCCGCAGCAGTGCCGAACTATCGGTAGCCCCAGTGCCCATGGAAGGCACGCCTTCGCCTGGTGCCGAGCTTGCGAGGCGGCATGCAGATCTTTGACAAGACTCTGACTGGCAAGACGATTGCGTTGGACGTTGAGGCCAGTGGCACGTTCGACAGTGTCAAGGCGAAGTCCCAAATTAAGGCAGGCATCCCGCCCGATCAGCAGCACCTGACCTTTGCTGGCAAGTTTGAGGGCGGCCGTACTCTTTCGGATTACAACCTGCAGAAGAGATCGACCCTTCACTTGGTGCCGCACTTGCGAGGCGGCATGCAGATCTTTGTCAAGACCCTCAAGCTCACCTTGGACGTTGAGGCCAGTGACAAGTTCGACAACGTCAAGGCTAAATCCCGAGATGAGGCAGGCATCCCGCCCGACCAGCAGCACCCGATCTTTGCTGGCAAGCAGTTTGAGGGCGGCCGTACTCTTTCGGATTACAATCGCGCGCATGAGGCTACCTCCACGCGGTGCGCGTGGGCGTCGGCGATTCTTTCGCTGACGTGCCGAAGCCTCCAGCTCCGCATCCCGTATGGAGCCATTTGTTTGCTCCATGCCTGGCGATGCCGATTCGTGATCAAGGCAATGCTGATACACATGATGCTGTACGTGGGATTGCTTTCAATTATGGGATGGGACCCAGGTGGCATGTTTGCCAGCTGTTTGGGACTTTGCTTATTGGGGGATTTGCTCACTGATTACGTGAAGTGGTTTGGCGCTGTGACCTACATGGTCACCGGGGATGCCCAGGTCGCTCGTAATCGTGATTGGCTTCGTCAGCGGAGGCGGATTCGGCATGTACTGCAAAGATCTGTCAAAGCGAGGGCGTGCCTTTGGGGACCAGGGAATGGGAACCAAGCCAAACATCGACGGTGCAGGGGGGTTCTTCGCTCTGGTCGGTGGTTTAGGACTTGGCTACGAAGTGGAGGCCGCATGGCTTTGGCGACGGCGATGATTGGTGGAAGAAGGTGGCGGCTACGACGAGTATGGCGACGAAGACTGCGAATTGATTATGTGCGCAGCGTGGGACATTGGTTTCATCAACACTTTGCTGGTGGCTTCTTAGTTGTGCGTGAGCCTGGGGGTTCAAGGCTCTGCTGCAGAACTCAAAGAGTGATCAACAAAGGGGTCGGGACCCCAGGACCCGGAAAAGATTCAAAGAGCCGACTCGGCCAACGCAAGGGTGGTTCGTCGGTTGGGTGTTGTTTTGGTTCAGGCGAGGTTGAGGCGACAGGCGGTGCGGACGTTAGCCCGAACGGGCTTAGTGCCCAGCTTGTAACTTCGACCGCGCCTGCTAGCCATGGCTCTGTGAAGCCGACTGGAGATGCAAACTGCGCTTCCTGGGGTGCCGAAGCTGCACGTCCACAGTCGGGCACGCAGGCGATGGCATGTTTTCCAGGGACGATGCGCGGCCGCGATGATGTTCCTCAAGGGTTTTCGCTTTCCGAGTCGTCCCAAGACGGCGGTGGCGAAATTTGTGGTGCTGCTGGTGCTTCGGGGCCGGCTTTTGGCACTTTTGGTTTTGACTCTGTCGACTCACATGGCGGCGACCCGACCTTTGTACAGCGCTCTCCGCTGGAGGGCGATCGGGGCGATGCTGGAGAACGAGACGATGGATGCACTGCAGGGCTTCTTCGAGGTGCTGCTTTTGGTGGTTTTGATTTTGGTTTTGGTCCTGGAGGGTCTGGTGTTTCTACAGCTGCGGACTTTCCATTACTACGTGGAGGTAGCAAGCTCCTGGCGGGGCTACGGCAAATACTGGAGGAGGCTGGTAGTGACGACGAAGAGGAGGAGATCAGCAAGGATGCTTGGTTGCGGACTGCTTTGGCTCGGCTGGTGGACCGCCGGCCCAAAAACCTGCTGCAGGAACTTAAAAGCCTGATAAGACTGGCGGGTCGCCGGATGCATGCCGAGAACGATGAGGACTACTGCGATTACGATGGTGGCTGGAGTGGACAAGCTGTTACCGAGGATTATGGCGATTACGATGGTGGATGGCAGGTGCAAGCTGCTCTGGATGGTTGGCCCCAACAACAGCTGCACACCTTTAGCGATGAGTGGTGGACTGGCTGGCAGCAGGATGCATCTGGTTGGTGGTTCTTTGCAGGTGGCCCGGGGACCACATCCACATGGGCACGTGGCACATGCGACGGATGGCACATGGACGGCAACGGCTGGTGGGCTCCAGATGGTTCCTCCTGGCCTTCTTCGGCGCGGACGGTGCGGGGCTCGCAACCTGCATCTGCTACGGAGGCCCCCGCTCGGACCAGGCAGGTTGTCGGCATCAAGGGTTCCGTTGATGGGGATGATGGGTGGCGGACTGTCACTCGGAAGCGTAGGCCTGCGGCTAACCTCGAGCAGAGCACATGGCGCCCTCAAAAAGACGTGTGGAAAGCTCCGAGCGGCATGGTTTATGCGGACGTTCCGGATGCGAGGACATTGGCGCAGCAATTGGATGAAGTATCCGGGGTCGCTTGGCTTCTTGCAACAGACGACGTCTCTGAGGTTAAAGAGGCCACTGACCTGATCGATGGTGCGGTGAAGGATGATGACAAGCAGAGCCTTACCATCATTTTCCTTGGGGCTCAGCGGGAGCTCACTAAGGCACAGATAGACTTCCAAGTCATGAGCATCCCGGGTCAGGAGTCCGGGGCACTTCGCATGCGGAAAGTCCCGGTGATCGTTTCGGGGCACACCCGTACTTTGTTGCAGCTGGCGACGAGAGATCGCACTCCGCTCATCGTCGCAAAGCCACCCCCATCATGGCAACAGCGACGGGCCACAAGTTTCGTCTGCAGATGTGAATTTGATCGACGGTTCAACGAGACGGCTTGGAAAACGGTGGTGGCTGCTCCTGCGGCCATGGTCCGCAAGTGGGCGCTGCGCAACGGTGTGGCACCCTCGGGCATCCTTGATGCCTTTGCTCCCAAGCAGATCGGCGCTAACCGGGTGTCCGTTATGCTACGGCTTTTGGACAAGGGCTCCGCAGAGGCACTGTGCAGGACTTCTGGGGCCAAAGCCTCCAACGAGATGGGCCCTTGGTTCATCGACGTTGTGGGTGACAAGGCGTCCCAAGGTCTCAAGCTGCCGCCACGTGTTCAATGGTTGGACTGGGTGCCCGAGGAATCCTGGGACACCTACCTGGTGAGTGCTCGCAAACAGGCGGGCTCCGACGGTGTGGCATTAGGTGCTCACCAACTGGGGATACGAGTGGCTCCTGACGATCCGAGGCTGCTTGCCAAGCCTGCGCTATGGCGCATGCGCGGTGTTCGACAAAACTGGTGTGCAGGCGATGTGGAGGATCTGCTGAAGCAGTTGGGGTTCGAGAGCATCACCATCCAACAGAAAATCCGCAACCGCAGCGTGGAGTGGCTCTTCAAAGGGCATCGACAAGACAACCTGGAATCGCTGCAGCGTGAGGTGGCTTGGGACGGGGCGGACGACGTTGGCGAAATCACTGTGGTGAAGGAGGCCAGACGGCGCAACGGCCCGGCCTCGAAGGCGCTGCACACTGGAAGGGCGGACACTTTTGTTCTGCCCGAGCCGACTGCCGCTGACCTGCGCCCTCAAAGACAACGCAAACAGGAGCGAAAGCGCGAAGCCCAGGCGGACAAGTTAGGTAAAAGTCGTCATGTACATTTGCATGACGAGTGCACGGCGAAGACTGGCAAGGAGACGGAGACGACTGCATCGGCGGATGCTGCTAAGCCAGAGTCTAAGAAGCGAGAGAGGTCTGCTGACGAGCTGGGCATGGACGTGGATGGCACAGAGTGGTTGCCACCTGGGGCCAAGCCCTTGACCAATGTTGGGGAAGGCAATTGCGTGTGGCACGCGCTGGCCACTCACGAGTCGACACCCGGCAAGCTTCGTTCGCATAGGCAGCTCCGGCAGTGGGTCGTCAATGCGATGAAGGAGCAGTCGGACGACCTGGAGCCTCTGTGGATTGCGCTCGGCAAGCGCGACGCTGATGGGAAACCGTCTACGATGGACTGGAGTGCCTACCTGGCCCAGCAAGGCACGAACGGCGCCTGGTCTGGTGCGCTGGAGTTGCGAGCTTACGCCTTTGCTGCAGACTGCCGCGTGTGGGTACTCACCGACAAGGGACGCTTGCACCTCATCAATGGCGATGGCAAACGACACGTGGCACTCAGATACCAGGTCCACGGCCACTACGAGCTCTTGCAGGGCTATGACGAGACGGACCTCTGGACACGAGCTGTGGACCTTAATGTCAAAGGGCGAGAGGAGCTGAAGGACATCATGAGAGGCGGGGCGCGCGCACTCTCCAGCTTTGCTTCGTCACGTCAGAAGACCAAGGTTCGCCGCACTTTGTCGGACTTTGCGTCAGTGAAAAGCGGAGCGTCGAAGGCTACTACGGCAAAGGGTGAGTCCAGGTCCTGCCGAGCTGTGCCAGGGTCGTCTTCGGGTTTAGGCCTTTCCCCCTCGGGTTCCCTAGGCACCCCCGCTCCACCGGCCGGGCCCGGGGCGGGCACCCAGCACACGGACGACGACGAGCCAGCCAAGTGGGTCTGTGATGAGTGCAAGCGTGTCTTTAGGGAAACCCCAACGCTTAGCCTGAGACACGCTAGGAACAACCACATCCGGCGTGCCCACCCAGATATGCCCAAGGAAGCGTTCAGCCAGCTCTGGACGGACCACAGCCTTGAGATTAAAGTGGAACCGTGTCCGCAGCAGCTTCGCATCTGGACGTGCAGCAAGTGCCATTGTGGCATCCGGGACGAGCGCCGCCCGGAACACCAGGTTCAGGCTGCGGCAAGGAGGCATCTGCTGGAGTGCACAGGTCATCCAATGACCTTGCGTGCAAACCTGAAAAGGTGTTCTGAGCAGATGCTTACGCGTCAGCTGGCCGGGGGCACTTCGAACTCTCGCCTCACGAACAGACGGATCATGATGGATAGCTATGCTCGCGGCAAAGGCAGGCACCAGATCGTGGAGTGGGACAAGGTTCGGCTTGGTGGGACTTTTCGCAAAAAGGGCCTTTGGGCGGTGTGCTCACAGTGTACCAAGTGCTTCAGGGCTGCCTCTGGCCTTAAAGGCACTTGCGAACCTGCGCAGCGGCCTCGACTCCTGGCTCGGAAGGCCTTGCTCTGGCAACGACTGCGCCTGGCCAAAAGTTGAGCGCAGCGGAGATCCACTCCCTGGAGGCTAAGGCCAGGAAAAGGGCTCCGCGCCGCATGGCAAAGGCCCCGCCTCTACAAGTGCGCCAGTGGCTCCGAGACCTGACAAAGGAGGGGGTGGAGCCCCATCCGGGGCCACTCTTACGCGGAGCCTTCTTGAACTGCGGTGGTCTTCAGGGTGCCTTTCGGGCCGTGCAGCACTTGAAGGCCGCTCAACACTCCCTGGTGGTGCTTTGCGAGACACAGGCGTGTGCTTGGAACCATGCACAGCTCACCTCGCGTTTTCAGCAGCTGGGCTACAGGGTTTGGGGCTTTTCAGGGCGCGAGGGCCGGGATACTAGGAACCGTCCTTTTGTACGTGGCGGCATCCTGGTCGCGGTGTGCGGCACGCTCACTGCGACATGCATGCACACACACAACTCGCCACGCGGCGATTTGGTGGCCATGGATTTCTCAACGCTTCAGGCTTCGTTCTTTTGGCAGCGAGGGGCTGCTGACAACGAGGGAGGCCTTACGGAACAACTGCTTGAGCTTCAGCGGCTGGCCGCCAGTCGTGAGGTGCCTTGGCTCGCGCTGGGAGACTGGAACCTGCAACCCCAGGAGAACACTCTTCGTGACGCCCTCTCTCTGCAGCTCTGTGCTCCGAGTGATGATACTGGAAGGCTCTGCCCATCCAGGTTCTCATCCGCCAGATGTATCGACTATGGTCTCCTCACTGCCGGCCTTCAGCTGCATGCGAGCCATGATGTGGCTCCTCTCTCCGACCACCGAGTGTTGTACTTTGAGGGGCGCCTGCCTACGGTCCGACAGAACGCTAGCTTCTTAAAGCCTACGGCCTCCCTGCAAAGACCGCCAGAGGTCACGACGGCAGCTTGGCACAAGGCCGTTAAGGTGGCAGCTTCGTGTGAAGAGTGGCCGGTCCCCACGGGCGCTCCAGACGAGGAGTGGCAGGACTTCTGTGCTGCTGCTGAAGGTGCGCTTTCTGCTGCTGCCAAGAGCTGTGGCCGTCCGGTGCACTCCGTGGGCTGCCGTCCGAAAGGCTCACTTCCTGAAACGCTCTCGGCGGGCGAGGTTGTCCGCTCTCCCGACAAAGAAGTTCCGTACAAGGTGCGCCAGTACACCAAGCTTCTGGGCAGGATCTACGAGGCCGTGCGTCAGCAAGATCGTGGTTCTCCTGCTCTCTGGCGCAACCTGCGCAGGACGTGGCCGGGCGAGTGGGGTGTGTTTCCTGCCGACCTGACGACCGCTGCCAACCTCGTGCAGACCAGGCTTCAGCAGGAAAGGGAGGCACACACGCGCAGCCGTCTTGCTCAGTGGCGGCGCAGGATGGCACAAGGAGGCAAGGCGGCCACGCAGTGGCTGAAGCGACAGGTGGCTTGTGCTCCCACCACCCTCCGACAGCTGCAGGCGGACGGGCAGACGCACAGGACCTGTTCAGTTGCTGAGACCTTCGATGCCATGCGCACCTTCTGGCGGCGCATCTGGCACCGTAGAGATGTCCCTGAGGAGCTGCAGCGACTTCGTGAAGGGAGGCTGTCTCGGCCCGCTGGCGAAGCCATGAGGGGCGACTGGAGACTTGAGGCGAGCGCATTTCAGCACGGGTCAGCTGGTCCGGACGGCTGGGCTCCTTCGGAGCTCGAGGCCTTTGACGAAGAGGTCTGGGAGTGTTTCCTCAGACTGTGGCACGACTGGTGTGAGCGCGACTTGTTCCCTCAGTCCTTCCGCCACTGCAGACAGGTCATGTTGCCCAAGGAAGAGCTGGACGCGCAGGGGGCCGTCGACGTGGAGAACATGCGTCCAATCTGTGTGCAGCCAGTCGTGTGCAGGGTCATCTCGAGTGTCATGGCCTGTCGCTCCCAGGAGTGGTTGCTTGCCAAGGTGAATGCCGACACACACGGCTCCCTCAAAGGCCGAAGCGTGGAGGCCGCGGTGCTGGCGCTGGACGAAGCCTTCTCCACCGACGGAATTTTGGTGAGCCTGGACATGCGGAAGTGTTTCGACTTCATGTCCCCAGAGCTTTGCCTGGGAATCTTGCTGCACGAGGGCATGCATCCAAATTGGGCCCGGCACCTGGCGCACATCTGGCAACAACAGCGCCGATGGCTTCAGGTGCAGCGCTGGGTGGCTGAGACGCCCGAGGACGTTAGCAACTCGGTCCCGCAGGGCTGTGCCATGGCTCCCCTGGCTTTGGTGTGCCTGCTTTTGGAAGCTACTCGTGACGTGCCGTCGCAAGTCGTGGGCCGTTTCCGCCAGTCCATTTACATGGACGACCGTGCTTTTGCCGCGTCAAGCCCGCAGGGTGCAGTGCAAGCCTGGCGTTCTTGGACTGCTTGGTGCGAGCGCCTAGGTCTCAGAGAGAACCTCTCTAAGGCTAAGGTCATCTGCAGGAACCCCTTCCAGCAGGCGACGATGGTGCAGTTGGGCATCCCTCCGAGGTGCTTCGTTGACTCGGCCAGGGTTCTTGGGGTGGACTTCTCTAAGTCTTCGGCTGCAGGTAGACTGTCTGACACGGCAACTCAGCGCGATGAGGAGGCAAAGAGGATTCTGGACCGGCTGGCGTGCCTGCCAGTCCCGCATGCTGCCAAAGTCGCTCTGTTTCGGACCAGGGTTTCGCCTCTGACTTCGTGGGGGCTCTGGCTCCAGGCGCGGAACACCCAACAGGACTCCAAGTTCACCACGCGGGTCAAGAAGGTTGTCGGCGGGGTCACCACGATGGCCTCCAGACATTTGTGGCAGCTGCTGGAGGGACACTGGACTTGCCCTTCCTTTACGGCTTCGATGTCGGCAGCGGCGGCCTTCATCAGGGCCAAGGCCTACTGGAGGCGCATGGGGCAGACCGTGCGCGGTGGGCTGTGGGCGCGACGAGTGGCTGGCATCTTCGAAGGACTGGGTTTCGTTCCTACTCGGCGGGACGCCTGGAGGCTTCCGGGTCATCCGGAGCTGCAGCTTTGGGGGCAGGACACCAAGGCCGTGGTGCAACGGTGCTGTCATGCCCTGCGCGAGGCATTTCGGCGACAGCTTCTGCAGAGCTTTCTGGACCGCAATCGTCGTGATGCTCGGGCCTTGCGACGCCAGGTCCGTTACTCAGAGCAGCAGGTCAAAGGAGCGATTCGCCTGTACGGGCAATGTGACGGACACCAGCGCGCGGTGATGATTGGAGCAGCTCTTAGCGATGCCGTTTACGATGTCATGGATGGGGGTGCGGCTTCGCAGTCGTGCCCTTGGTGCGGAAGAGCGGTGCTGCCTTGCTGGTCGCATCTGCTCTGGCACTGCCCGCATTTCGCTCGAGGCCGGCCGCCTAGGCCACAAGACCCGATGGCGCAAAGGCTTGCCTGGCCAATGACGGCTGTTACAGCACATGCTCGTGCCGTAGTGATCTTCGCAGGTGGCATCAGGAAAGCTGTCTTGAATCGACGGCTGCAGCAGAATCGCATGTGACACAGTTTGCTGAGGGTTGCGCGGGCATTGGGGTTGGGTTTGGATTAGGTTGCACCTCTTCCCGTTCCTTTCCCTAATGCCTCTCTCGCCGAGATGCGCCGCGTGCTCAGCAGTTCGTTGTTAGGGCCTCTGTCGGTCAAAGGTGGCATCAGGACAGCTTTGTGCTACCGACGGCTGCAGCAGAATCGCAGATGACACAGCTTGCTGAGGGTTGCGTGGGCCTTAGGGTTTGGTTGGGTTTAGGTTGCACCTCGTCCCGTTCCTTTCCCTAATGCCTGTCCCACCGAGATCTGCCGTGTGCTCAGCAGCTCATGGGGGCCTCGGTCGTTCAAAGGGGGCATCAGAACAGCTCTGTTGTGTCGACGGATGCAGCGGAACCGCAGGTGACACAGTTTGCTGAGGGTTGCGTGGGCCTTAGGGTTTAGTTTTGGTTGCGCCTCTCCCCCTTCCCTTCCCTAACCCCTCTCCCGCTGGGAGGCGGCCGTGTGCTCAGCAGCTCGCTGTTAGGGCCTCTGTCGTTCAAAAACTACTTTCGGATTACAATCTGCAGAAGGAATCGACCCTTCACTTGGCGCCGCACTTTCGAGGCGGCATGCAGATCTTTTTCAAGATCCTGACGCTCACCCTGGAACAGCAGCTTCTACGTGACGGAGTTCCAGAATTGCTTAGTTTCCGACTTCAAATGCTGATGAGGGGTAATTCGAATTTACAGACCAGTAAGAACGAACCTGCCAAGGTATTGCTTGCTGTCTGTTTAGCCGAGTAGGGCTGCCAGCTGGAATGTGGAATATGACCCTAGCCACATTCTGCGAGTCTGCATTTTGAGTGGAACTGCGCGGAACCGCAGTTGCACCGCTCGCCTCCTTGGACATGATTATGCACTCACCCTTGCTGATTGGTGTTTTTGTGTTTGGACAGTTGGTTACCTTTTCCGCGGCCCAATGCGTGTAAACGCTGTCACTGTGCGCATTTTGTGGCCGCGATGAGGGCTCCGGCGGTTTGGATGGCCTCTCAGGAGCCCGGTTTGGAGGAATACGTTCCGCTTTCGGGTGATCGTGTCCTGCTCTTCCGTTTGTTACCCTGAGTGCACACCACCAGTCACTACTGTAGTCGTGGATTTCTGCTCCAGGGTTCTGTTCTCGGTGGCTTTTTGGGTAGCCCGCAAGGGATACCAGGCGCTTTGAATCAGCCAGGTCCGTTTAAGTGTTGTGCCTGCACTTTTCTGCCTCGACAAGAGTTTGAATGGCAGGTGCGTGAAGGGCATGCCACTTTGTATAATTAGGCCCGGGACAGTTTTTGGCTTCGCCTACTGGGTACATCCCTGGCCCGACCCCTCTGTCTAGTGCATATGCCAAGCAATTTCTGCGCAGAGGTGAGGGTACCCGTCACAGTTTTTTAAGTTGCAAGTTTTGGGTCGCGCTTTCATGAGCACTACGGACCGCACAGAAAAAAGGCCCCCACACTAAATCCTTATAAAGGCCCCTATAGTAGCCCTTGTAGACCCCTGGGAACCCCTATTCTAGTCATTAAGGCCCCTATATTACCCAAGCTGCTGTTGCCGAGAGAGACCCAGGCTCTTGCTGCAGAAGTCGTTGGCGAAGCTTCGCCAATCCTGGTTTCAACTCAGGGGCCACAGGAGCGCAAAAGGGTCCCATAATAGAGTCCGAAATGCCCCTTACTAGTGGGTCTTCGGGGTATATTAGAGGGTACTTGAACCCTAAACCCTGAACCCTAAGCAGAAAAACAGCAGAAGGCCCCCAAGCCGGAAGCCCCATGAAGGCCAGAAGCTTGATAAGATAGCTTGAAGCTACAGGGAACTGCAGAAAGTTGGAATATGGAATAATGGCAGGATCCCCTATAATGTACCTTAAGGGGATTATGATAATGATATTCCAACTTTCCGACTTCTACTGTAGGGGCTTCGGGTGTACCCCCAAGCCCTGCAAGCCTTCAAACTCACCCCGGTAAGCCGGAGCCAAGCACAGCAGACCCTCCATGGCAAGAACGCGTCGGCATGGATTCTGCCAGTAACGCTTCAGGATGCACTGTACATACACTTTCATTCTACAGGGGCCCAAAAGTTGGAAACCCCATAGTCTCAATCCTGAAGAGCACTGTATCGGGAACCCCAGCACCGTCCTGAATCCGGTTTCCAACTTCTTGGAGTTTACTGTAGAAACTTAAAGCCCGAAGCCCAATAAGCCTCAATAAGCCCTTGACAAGTAAACATGTTGAGGCAGGCCGACCCTTTGCCCGTGCTCGAACCTTCTGTGGGCTTAATGTAGAAGACTATGTAAACATTTGGTAGTACTTCTTCCATGAAAGCCTCAATAATTAACCCCTTTACTATAGCCTTCATAGTAACTTTGATAGGCCCCGGTAATATGAACCCTTTCAAAACCCGTTCAATATTGTGAAGGCCCCTATATCGCTTAGGGCGTTGGGGTCGGATAGGTTGGGCGAAAAATACGAAACCCTCACAGGCCTGACCCACCCTAAACCTGAACGATTAAACCCTGAGGCGAAGACGAATCCCCCAGAGACTCCAATATCCCTTAATTAAGGAATATATACCTTAAATCATAGTAGGATCCCTAATATGATTTAAGGAATATTCCTTAATTAAGGGGTATTGGAGTCTCCGGGCCTTACACCATGAACACCAAACCGTAAACCTAACCGTAAAGTCCTAATGTCCACGGCGAAACGCTGAACGCTCGGCTACAGCGCCCTGACGAACCCATCCTCATTGCCGCAAGCTTCAATGGCCAAACCTTGAACATTACGCTATAGAAACTTGACAGCCAACTTCAACCTGAAGTTTGAACTATGGGCACCTCAATTCGGAGCCGTTTGAAACCTCAAACTTCGACTATTTCTCAAGGACGTCAAAGATCCGATGATCCATCATTTCGAGGGGAAGGGGCATGGTTTAAGATACATCTAGTGTCTCAAGGTACCCTTCAGCAGGGGTCTTGTTCCTTATAGGCCTTGTATGGCCTTGTAGTCGCGGGTAACACTTGGGGTTTAGGTTGGAACATTAGCTAGATCAGGGTCGAGTGTTTCGGACTTGGGTTGTATGATGCCTTGCAGAACTTATCCTAAAACCGCAATTACCTCCGTGATTGCTTGGCGACTTAATATTGTTCTCTAGAGACAATCTCAGACCACTTAGCTAACTGTGCTCCTACAGCAAAGTCTGATTCAAGCCAGGCGTCGATGTCTGGGAACGTCACCAGGTGCGCGTTCCTGACGTAAGGGCCCGACACCACAAACCGTCAAACTAAAATCCTAATCCTGGAAACCATGAACCCTCAACGACTCACCCCGAACCCGGTGTAACATATTGGATTGCAGTACCTTTTTGCATTAGCCGCTCTATGGACAGGGTCCCTTCATTGGCAGGAAGACGAGATACTGCAATAGTTGGACGCGGAAAGGCAATCAGCCATAATTACCTGACCAGCAGCCAAGACACTCGGGTTTAGGGCGAACGACGGTTTTGTACTGAACTGCACAACGTCGGCACTTGTGCGTGCGAACTTGGCATCAAGCCATTCAGCAGCCCCCGATAACAGCCTAATTATGAGGCTTCGGTAAACCCTAGCTGCTACTGACGATCCGGAGGGAAATCTGCTGGTTCCCGCGGCTAACAATGCTGCACGGCCGGAAATCAGACTTGCATGCAGGCGCACAGCACTGCCCAACTATGTAAGCAAACACACACTCCGACACGTGTACCATGTCTGTAAGACGAGCTCCAAGACTTCAATCTCGCCCTGAATCATATCCGCACACAATCATCCATCCAGCCAGCCATCCATCCATCGCTCGACGGATGGCATTCTTACAGATTGGAAACAAGGACATAACCCACGATGCGGATTCAGAATACATGGGCTTCGCCACACTCTAAATGTAGAACTGTCCAGGCCTACACTTTATTGCATTGCCAGGATTCATGTTGCCCGTCGCGCCGCCAAACTTGCAGCTGTGTGGGACCTGCTCAGCAAGAGTCGAGGCATAGGCTCTGCACGGGGTCTGTGGGGCTGTTGGCTAGGTCCTTCTTATGTGCACAAGTTCGCCGATCGAATCTTACAAAAGCCTTTCATACGGCTTTGTACGGTTTGGGACTAGGATTTTTTGGGCTTTGCGGCGTAGGGGTTTCAGGGGTTAGGGATTGAAGCTCCGGAATTTTAGGGTTTAGAGCGTTGTGCTGCCAGGTTTCTTGCGATTCACCGTGTAGGTTTCTTGGGCTTAGCGAACTGAGGTTTCAGGTGGCTCGAATTGCTCGACTCCTAGACCTCTCGTGCTGAAACAGCTACCCACACCCACTAACCCTGATTCACCTAGTGTAGGTGTAACTATATAAACCGTTCTTTCTGCAGCGAATTAGATTTGAATCGTTGCCCCAAACCCTAAACCCCCAGTTCCAAAGCCAAGGCCCCCCAAAGCGCGGCACCTGCTTCAGAAGCTCCAGCTGTGCCTCGATCCGTTCAATAAAGACCTGTGCGATAGGATTATAGGGTTTAGGGTTTAAGGTTAAGCTTTAGGGGTAAAGGTTAGGGTTTAGGGTTAGGGTTTGGATTTAGGGTCTTTCTCGCCACCGTCAGTCAATCAAGTTAACATAGTTCAGGGTTTAGGGTTAAAAGGCCAACACCCTCCAGGCAGTGGGTGAGTTGTTGAAGACTTGAGAACTCAGAGCTCTAGAGAGAGATTATGGTGCTTAGTATAGGCCTGATGTATACTTACGTTTTACAGCACTTGCCTCGACTCCATGTCGCAATAGCGTTAGCCAACATTGTTGATCAGGAGTTGTCTGGAGCTCAGAAATTCGAGCAGGCCAACAGCTGCGGGTCTAAAACTCCGAATCAACGGCCGAAGGCAACCTCAATCTTGAACAATACCGTTGGTAACTATTGTTGGTCTGCTACCTCAAGGCAGAAGTTGTCTAGGGATCTCACGCAATCCTGTTGGTTTGATTGGATGTTGCCTACAGC